TGTGAAAATGTAATGAGTAGAAGTCAGAAGTGGGAAGAAAAATAAGTAATGGAGTAGAAGTAAAAAGTCGCCATAAAAATAAGTAGTAAAGTAAAGTAAAAATATCAGAAAAATCTACTTGAGTACAGTAACGAAGTATTTGTACTTCGTTACTTCCCATCTCTGATAATTGGGAAAAAAGGTTCAAAGCGTACAGATTAGATATTTTTCTCAGATTTTCAAAAATCTGGAGCTTAATCTTATAAGGTTTGTACTTTATCAATCAGTTTCCACCCACTTAATTTGCTTGTTTAGTTTTTGCATGAATGTGCATGTCAGCTGTCCATGGGGTAATTAGAGGGGAGGAGGTGAACTCCTGCAACACTGAAGCTAAAGGAAAAGTGTCTGAGTTAGATTTAGATTTCGCCCTGTGTCTCCCCCTAGTCAGTGACGGAGCTTTTCTCCCACCAGGGTTCTGCATCACCTCCTTTTGCTGCCGCTCACTCTCGAACACCCCTCCACTGGCCTTATAATTAACTGCAGTTGTTAATGGGCTCAAGAGGAATTTAGTTTGTAAGCTGATCCTACAATTAGGGCTTGTTGACTTTGCATAAATGTTGGAGGCTGCCCTCCCTGGGGGCGCGGGGCAAAAGAAGAGCGCCTTTGAGGAGCTGCCAGCTTAGACCGGACCTCCTGAGAAGTTGGAGGAGGAAGTAGGGTGTAAAGCACACACAGATGATCTCCTTGCAGCAGCCTTTCCCCTGAACCCTTCGGGTCACTCCGGATATCGGGTCAAACTCAAGAAAGGTAGATAAAGCCTCAATCATCAGCGATTGTCATTAGCAGGGTACGCTTAGTGAAAAGGTGGGAACCTTCTAGGAGCAATTTGCTTACATATTACACCTCTACAGTAGAGTTTTATTTTATTTGTTTTATCTTGAGATTTAAATGACATGCAGGTTTGTGTTTATGTGTGGTTTGTTTTCTTGCTACAGATAAAAAAACAGGATAAGGAGGCAGTGACACCCCCTCTAAAGTAACTGGTATACATAGTAAAACTATGGAAAAAGCTTTGCAGAAACTTTAATTTGTTTCTTTTTGCAGTTCTGTAAACGTTTTTTTTTTTTTTTATTCTTTTTTAGTTCCCATTTTCCCCATGGAAATAAACTCGAGCCCTCATCCAGCCATGCTTATTAAGAGCAGTTTAAGTTTTGGATTTGGTCTACATCCAGAAAATTTCAAGGAAAGAATGTGTCTTCTGGTTCACATGTTTATCTTGTCTTTCCACATTTGATGAATCATAAGTCCTTGTACTCTTAAAAATAATGACAATAACGCAAATCTAGGTGAGGTATTTTTCTCTTGTATTGAGCAATTTGCCCAAAAAATAGGATGATATTAATTAAAAATAATTTATTTATTTATATAGCCCCAATTCACAACACATATCATCTCAAGGCTCTTTACAATTTAACCAGATCATACAGTCTAATTGATTCAAAGTTTTCTATCTAAGGAAAACCAGTTGATTGCATCGACTCATTGACTGGAAGGCAATCCCTCACACTAAGCATGCTTGTAGCGACAGTTGAGAGGAAATACTCCCTTTTAACAGGAAGAAACCTCCAGCAGAACCAGGCTCAGTGTGAGCGGCCATCTGCTGAGGCCGACTGGGGTTCAAGGAGACAGAAGCAGAGATACAAAAGGCAAGTGTAACCCAGGTCCATGGGCAGACCCGTCCAGGAAACACACAGCCAAGCAGACGGGCTCCGAGCCAGCTCCCATGTCAGAGGATGAGGAGAGCACATCCAGTCAGTCACAGCCAGAGAAACAGGACTACACTGAAAAACAAGCCGATCTCTAACATTTATTAACCAAGGTGTTGATGGCAGCAGCACAGCTGATATTTCTCTCCAGGATGGAGTCACAGCCAAACAGGAACAGACCTGATGAAGGTACTAGACTGCAAAATCTTCCACAAACATTTCTGATTCTGCTTAAAGTGCATCGTAGATCATTTTCAGCCTCGCTGAAACCAAATAGCATCTCTCACATTAAATGACTATTGAGTACCTCTGCTTTTCTCAAAAGAGAAAGTTGAGATTACTCACTAAAAGATGGTAGAACTCCAATGATGTTTCCTGAATAAAGTATGAAATGAAGTGAAAATAAGAACTATTTGATCTCATCAAATCGCTTGCATTAGATCTGTTCTCCCAGTCCAGGATATTTCTTTCAACTGATCATTTTTAGAGTCTCAAAAACACTAATTCCTTTTGCCGTCTATAAAAACAAAATCCTTTTTATGTGCATGGCTTGCATAACCAGAAAATAGGCTGTCCACATTTCTGGGTTTTCAGTTATAATCACACATCAAGCAATTCTTTATAGTGACATTGGTGGTTAAAAAAGAAAGACTGCTTCAGGATCCTGTCCTGCATAATCTGCTCAATTCAAATGGATCAGATATCCTCAGCATCCCAGGAGAGCTGTGTAGAGCATAGCTGAAACACTTAACATTTATAGCACCACTTTATGATGGAGAACAACTGTCAGCTTCAAACTTGGCACAATTTAGTGGAGCCACATGGACTTAAATACGCTAACAGGCAAATCAAGAGTAAAGATGCTAATGTAAGCTCAGTAGTCGTACAGCAAAATGAATTTTAGATAATTATTCAATTCAACTCTGTTTATTTATATCCTGTAGCACCAATTCAAAACACATATCATCTTAAGAAACTTTACAAAGACAATCCAATCAGATCAATTTGACCCTACAGTATTCCTTCATGTGGAGCATGCATGCAGTGACAGTGGAGAGGAAACACTCCCTTTTAAATGGAAGAAATCTCCAGCAGAACAAGGTTCAGCTTTCTGCTGAGGCCTAGAAGCAGACTTACAACTAGTATCTATTTTAAGCCACCTCATCTTGGCTCTATCTGCTTTTCAATCTAGCTGCAACCCACCTCCACACCCTTTATCATCCAAGTCTGCCTTTGACTCCTCTCAGCTCCCTTCCTTCATCTTCCGTTCCACCACATGTGTCCAGGGCCAAGCCATCTCCAAGCATCAGCAGCATTTTAAGCTGTCCTGCACACATTCCGGCTGGGACAAAATACTTTATGCTGTGAAAAAAAGGAAAATGTGTCTTGATTGTTATCGCCTTTAGTGGAATAGGTTTTACACATTAAAAGTATCTACATAATTTCCACATTTCTTATATTGAGCAAGAACCGTTTAGGAGTAGAAAACCTTGATTGAGGTAGAAATGGTTTCAGTCGTAGTTTTACAGTTATTTCACTGAAATTGTTTGACATGGAGTTGTACTAAATAGTATACATCCTCAGATGAAAGGCTGTATAAGCTTTGTATGCAGCACATAAAAAAGATATATTTATATTATTTTTTTCATATGTAACCAAGGCTACAAAACAAGGAAGAGGCTGCTGTAAATTCACCAGCTGAAGATTTATGGTTCCCGGACAGCATTTTCCAATTATATGTTTGTTGTAGCCATTAAGGAAACTTCACAACATATTTGTGGCTTTTCTACGGAAAATAAGCTCTATAACTTCCTGTGTCTTTCTACGGGATGCAACAAGTTACAGCAAGTGGCTAAATGTTTTTCTTCTTCGCCTGTGTTTGTTTCTTCGTAGGGGATTCACCAGGCTGTGCAGCACTTATTGGTTGGTGTTTTATTACTTATGACAATGTCAACTAACCACACATTTACTACTTTTGAAAGATGAAGCAACAAACACTGCAGTGCTCATGCTTGCTTTAGTAGATTCAGAGTCTCATGCTGTGGGCATCAAACAAAAGCAAAAAATAGAGAACACAGACTGTAGTTTAGATTTAAGTAATTGTTAAAACTGGCTGGAATGTATCAGAACAGGAAAACTGAGTTTTACCATAGTTATTTCCTTTTAAAGAAAAAGAAAAAACCTAACAGAGGTTTCTTACTGTTAAAAGGGAGTTTTTCCTCTCCACTGTCGCTACAAGCATGCCTAGTGTGAGGGATTGACTTAGAGTCAATGAGTCGATGCAATCAACTGGTTTTCCTTAGATAGAAAATTTTTAATCAATTTGGCTGTATGATCTGGTTGAATTGAAAAGTGCCTCGAGAGAAAGTGTTGTAATTTGGTGCCATATAAATAAAATTAATTGAATTGAATTAATATGTTTTACGGTTTTATTATTTTTATGTTGTGCAATAATTATACTCAATACCTAATCGGGAGCATTTGTTGTTTGAACCTGGAGAGACTCAGATAGATGGGTGAAAGTTTGTTTGCATACGTGAGAGAAAAGCTAGGCCAGGAGTTTAATGAAGGGGATCTTGAGGATGATTGGCTTCGGGGAATATGCGGCCCCTGAGATGATTAGCTGGGGCTGAATGAGGGACATCGCAGGTGGTTCAGGTGAAGCTGATAAGAGTCTTCCAGATTGAATTTTCATTCAAGCTTTATTTAAACAAATGATATTCATACTTGTTGTTCTCTGGGCAGGATCAAACTCTGCGCACACTGAACTCTGCTAATTTGTTTTTGGGTTTTTTTTCTATAATCCTCCTGCTGCTGTAAACACCAGAATTTCCCCACTGTGGGACAATAAAATAATTTTCTGTTTTGTTTAAAACTCTTGATTAAACTAGTGGAACTCAACTAAGCCACTACACAAATAAGAAGGAATGGCAAATGTTTAAAAAAAAAACATAATCAATACAATGATGCTGTGGACTATGGCTCAACAATATCAAATTATCTGCTACAATTTCACTTATGATTTTTGTGTTGAGTCTATTTTTGTCAGTGTAGTCCCTTTTTTCTTACTGTGACTAACTGTATGTGATCTCTTTCAGTTCATGGGAACTGTCATGGAGATCGTCTGCCTGGCTGTGTTTCCTGGATGGGGCCGCCTGTGGAGCTGGTTGACAGTTACCTTTTGCACGTTTATTTCCTTCTATATGTCTGCTTCTGCCTCCTTGAACTCCAGTCTGCCTTTGCAGACTCACACTCAGCTTCGTTCTGAGTTTCTTTCTGTTAAAAGGGAGCTTTTCCTTTCCACAGTTGCTGTATGCATGCCCAGTTTGAGGGTTTGCTGAAGAGTCAATGAGTACATAAAACTTTGAACCGATCTGACTGTATGATCTGGCAACCTATTCTCATTATGAGTTCGTATGAAATCGTACGAAAAGTTATGCACCGTAATTTCGTACGTTTTGGACATTTTTTTCGTCGTATGCGCATGCGCATCTTACGCACCATTCAATAACATAGAATTTAAAATACAATTAGCCCTAACCCTGACCCTAACCCTTACCCTAAGATATAAAACAGCAAGCAACGTAGTTAGAGACATGAAGAAGTGATTATTGCACTGTTTTTCCCAGTTTTACGTCCGTCCGCGGATCTGCTTTTTTTGTCTGTCTGCCTGCGCATGCGCACTGATGTGGTTTTTTGAGGAAAAATGTCGAAAATGTACAATATAGTGTGCATAACTTTTCGTACGATTTCATACGAACTCATGATGAGAATATGTTGGATCTGGTTGAATTGTCTCTGCAAAGTGCCTTGAGATTACATATGTTGTGAATTGGTGCTATATATATGCTGAACTGAATAAAATGAATATATGTCATTTTTAATATATACAAAAAAGTAGTTTCATTCAGAACTGTAGAAAACTGAGCCCTTTGAAAGCAAACAATGTTTTGCCAAACAGGTCGTGTTTTCATGTGGATAACATTACATTGTTCTTAAGAGGCTCATCAGGTGTTAAGTCTGTTAACAGCAATGATTCACTTTTTCCTCATTTCATAGTCGTAATCACCTCTCCCTGATACTGGTTGTTGTTGCGACTGATTTACGAGCTTGGCTTTCACTGTAAAGGGTTCTTCAGGATTGCTGAGTATCGCAGAACTGTCTTTAAACACTTAAACTGTTCTCAAGACTATAATAAATCAGTCTTTCCTCTTGTTACTGTATGTGTGCAACTTTTGGCCTAAACTAAGAAGACACACAGAACAGTTGAGAAGACAAGTTGGTTGTGCTTAAATGTTTAGTTCCTTAAATGTAGTGTTGTTGAATTGTGGCAGCAGCAGGATGCTGGATAAAAGATGATAAATTGTTAGGTTTGATTCTTATTGAATCTCAACATGCACAAATCTCACACTGGTAGTAATTTCCTTCTTTTGCCTGTGTTCTTAGTAGATATAGTCAGTAGAGGAAGTACAGACTGCTTTTGTAAATAGAGAAAGACTGTTACTGAGTTTATTTAAAAAGTGTGTTTCTCAAATAGGAAATTAACTGAGAAGTCTCCTGTCTTTCAGCCTGATCTGTCAGTTTAGGAGGACCACTTTGTTTACCTTTCTCTGATGATGGTGAAAATCAGTCATAAACATGAGATCACAGGTTTCTAAATTCAAGCCTATCTAAAGGCTCCTAATTTGTATTTTTAAAAACTGAGGGCCCACCCTTCTGAGAACAAACCCATTAAGGATCTTAATGTGTTCTAAAGAAGTAGATAAAATTACAAATTGACTGCAAACATCATACTTAAATACACTTTAAAAAAATTTTAAATCTAAGTAAGTCAACTTTTTTTTTAATAGCTGCATTTATCTATTTATTCTTGAATTAAACCGGTAAGTGAGATACCTCACATTGGAATGAGACAATTTACATTTAAAATACTGATTTTTAAGCTTATAATCTATTATCTAATTATCTTATTTTTAGGGTAAAAATACTGATTCAGTTGGCAGATCGTCTTATTTACCTACTCAATTTAAGGATAAACTTAAAGACTTCTTTTAAGAATTGTTAGATTGTTTTTGCAGTAAATCATTGTTTCAGATGTTAGAATGGATTATTTTAAATTAAACAATTGTATTATGTTAAGTTTTGAGAGACTCTTAACTGGCTTGTTTACAATTTTTCTACACTTAAAAGGGATAGATATTAAATCTAGGGTTTGTTGTGGATTTTAAACTATTCAAATTTTTATACTATTCTACAAAAGGGAAAAAAAACTTGAAAAATTTAGAAAAATACCTGATCCAGGAGCCATACAACACAATTATGGTTACGTTTCCTTTAAGCCTTCTAAATAATTTCCTTTTATTTATTTTTTTTACCTTGTATAAATCAATAATATCAGCTTGAACATATATGTATTGTGAGCTCAAATAACATTATAAAGATATCTAAACATGCAACATCCCTTAAACAGCTTCCAAAAAAAATGAAAATGCAAGAACCTACCGGTATAACATTTCTAAACAAGTCAGACCAGTAGGCTGAAGAATTTAGTCAGCACCTTTACCTTTATTTAATACGACATTCATCTTCCTGATGTTTACATGCACATTGTCACTCTGCTCTGCTGTTTTTTTGCATCTGTAATTTACTTAACATTACTGACGTATGCAAATGCAATAAAGTGAAATTCAACTGAAGGTGCTGATTTCCAGCATATCCCTTCTGACACACAATGAATGACATGTGTGACATTTCAATAGTAACCATTCCCACCAAAAATACACACATTCCCTCCTAACTGCTGTATAATTCTTTACATGTGTAAACATTTACAGTAGTACCCTTCACTGAAAGGGTTACATTGTGCTGGAGGAATTTTACATTTCCTAAAATGAGAACCAACAATTTATCTTTGCAGAAACTGTGTATTTTAATGATGTCACATTTACTTCTCTTATTTTATATGACTGATGTTGTGCTGAATGTTGTTCCTCTTAGGAACATCACTAATTGCCTCATATTTCTCTAAGAACATGTCGTCAGGCCTATTTCACTAGTAACACAAACTTATCGCTGAACTAAATGAAAGCCCCTGTCACAGTGATTCCAGCATTTTGGCCACTTCCTTGAATTGCTTTGGGACGTTATGCTCCAACACATGTTTAGAAGACAGATGAACAGTTAGTCCAGTGGTTATATCATATCTCCCAGAGAGACACATGTTTACAGGACACCAAAGAGCTCTAATGAAGTCATCACCAAGGAAAATGTTGGGATAGGCCCGCAGCAAGTATGTGTATCAGACGCCAAGTGCCTCTGTACAGTGATGAATGGCTGCAGCCACATTTTGCTAATGATCATTT